CATGTCGTCAAGGGTGAATGTTGTTTTTTAAGCTGTGAATGTGTTGATTGTAACTGCCCCGGGTTTTAAATTGGACTCTCATCAGCCACGTTGACTTTTGTTAGTTTTATTCTCCCTCCTCCCCCGCTGCACTGCCCTCCCCTGGGGTTGTTTATCTTTATCTTACACGGCCACACTGTCGTTTAAGTTTTATTTGTTCCAGTTTCATCTTTCACGCCCGCCACGTTGTCAATGTGTTTTGTTTACTAATTGTATATTCCCTTGAGTTCTTCCGATTACGTCTTTCAGTCCTGCTATGACCAAAGAGAGAAGCAAATTACACTCAATCTTATCACAGCATTAAACTACAAACTCATTTAGTTTTGACAGTGGATGCAATAAGTTATAGATTGATAGTAGCTGTGAGGTACTTAGTTAAATGTATTTCTGTCCAAACTGAAACGATGGAAGACGATTCGCGCTCACTTTAAGAAATCATACGAATCCGCCATTTTCGTGTCCTCCTCAAATGGCGCTTCGGCTCGCAAGGTACGGCGGTTGGTTATGATTCTTTAAATGGTCAAGTTTTGTTTTAATGACTTTATTCTAATTCACTATTTTTTGTGCTACGAGTGAAATCATTCTTTTGTGTCTATTTTACTATCATCCTTTAATAGCCAGTTTTGTTTCACGGCTTTAATGATTTCACTCTAAACTGACAGACTTAATTCTCGGAAATTTTGATTTAATTAGCTTTAAATTAACAGGTGCGAGACTGTAATTTACWACTCGATGCTCTACTTGAAATTAAACGGCAACGCTACTTGAAACAGGATGGTTACTTTCAAAATAATTTTCATGTTTATGACTTTCTTTGTCACGACTGTTCACCATAGAATAAAAGAAAAACCAAAAMCCGCCTTTGACACAAGCGATTTTTCTTTTCTCTYYATGCAAATCACACATTTTATCAAATCAACCTTATCAGGCTCATAAATCCTTTGCCATATTGTATTAGTTACATATCGTCATCTATATAATTGATCCCTAAAAAGTCTTCAACGCACACGGCGTCTTTAAACTTGTTAACACGATTAKATTCTGACTATAGTCTGTTTTCATGTCAACATTTGTCTATAAATCTCCATTCTTCTTGATCTTCTTAATACAAAAATGGCTGAATATGAGGGATCGGTTCCGGCATGTGACGTCATAGTTCAGGCGGATCAGCCGTTTGGAATTAAACAGCAGTATTTTGGCGTTTCTGATTGGCTGAGTGCTGATTACGTGTTGACGTGCGACGATTTTTTTTGTTATTCAGTAAGTTCTTGATTCGGGTTGTTTTGAAAGGTAAGTTCTGCATGTTTGGTCTCATTCTCGACGCTTTTAAAAAGACTTGGGATGTAAATCTTCCTTTTTTTGGTTTTAATTTATTCTGATCTTTTGGAGTTACTAGTAAGTKGATTGTTTATTGGGGATGGTTTTGGGTACTTCAAAAGATAGCATCASAAATTATCATGCTTTTCAGTCTCTAATTTTCATGGAAAGATTGTCCAGTGTTGACAGAGGTCAAAAATGGTCATTTGTATAAATGTTTTGCTTGCATTTTGCACGCGATTCAGTTTTTAAACCACTGAATTTTTTAGTGCATTTTTCACATTTTTCAAAAGAAAAAAGTTCCCACGTCATGCGATTCTATTTACGCAACACTACATTGCAATTTCGCATTTTATGACAAAAAAAAGTTATTTTCAAATGACTTTTATTGCGAAAAAACCTTGCAGGGAATCTTAGARAATAGCTATATTTACAGCTGCGCTCCTTTCTCAAAAATATATATATATCTTTCCATCCGGCACTAGAGATCAACACTAAGAATGACCCACTGAAAGCTACAATTGTGTTTTTGGAAATATTCACCTGTTAACGAAGTTGGATCTTTTCTTACTTCACCAAAAATCGAGAGATAAAGTATTTRATTTTCGGCAAAGAGTTAAATAGAGACTCAGCCGCTCACAGTAGAGATGTACTATAGAGATTTCGTGTAAGTGTAGAGAATTTCTATGGCGATCAAGTGCCAAAAGTGGGCGACCTCGCACTTAATCTTCAAAACTGCATACTAATATGAAATTATACTGATTATTTSGGCCGCTTTTTTGTGTATTTGTTTATTGCTTTTGCATCATCTGGAAAAATCGACAAAATGAAAACGGCTAGGGATTGTCAACAATACCATAGCGTTGGAATCTTTCTATGCGCGTCTGTAAAAACCCGGAGCCGTTGTGTCTATAAACACATTTTGTTGAGCACTCAGATATCGCATTATTGGTATTTAACTT